TTATGCGTATAAGTACGTATATAGAATAATTATACACATTGTAATTACTACAGGAGTAAACAAACTCAATGCTGCGTATATAATCAAAGAGAAAGCAACAAAATTAGTTGACTTTATTCGGTTGTTCAAAATTAGTTGACTTTGTTCACGCTTCATTCAGCAACATGGCCCGTAATATTGATGACTTATACAAAGACACAGTTTTTAATAATTAATACTCATTGTACAATTAGGTTTTTATAATTATACATTTATATATGTACTATTACTAGTTTAGTTTATTATATTTTCTTATTGTGTAAATAGATATATTTATATACGCAGGGCCCCTATGGATACCAGCCTAGTGCTGAATGGGCCACCCTGCTAAAATAAAGTTATCTTATCTTATCTTATCTTTAACTAAACAAAACCAGGTTTGGTTTATATAAATCGTGTTTAATATGAGCAAAATACATTTGTATCACAATCTTTATTTGACTATAACGCTGTACGTTTCTTGAAATCAACGATGTGTAAACAACGCATGTGAGAAATATATGTTGAACCGAAGCAAATACTCGTCTATACAAAATATACAAAGATTTAATTTGGACTAAATTGTTTTGTGTTGTCTTTCCCTAATTCATGCTGTATCTCAAGCGAAATGTCAAAAATCTTATTTGCTCAATACTTTAGTCCTTCAAGAACTAATTATAAATTTGTCACTCCACTCTTGCTCCACCAAAATAATAATTATTCCCGCATATATCGAATAATTACATTCAAAATCATTGACCAATCAGGTTGCAAAACAGACCAGCCGAAGCCAGGGCCTTTTTCGCTGACCATCCAACCGCGGAAGCAAAAAGCCCTGAGTACGAGGTTGGGGACATACAAGTCACACAAGCGCTTATAGGCGCGTGGTCACACGAGGCAACAATTCATGCGACAATTCGCAGTGTGCCGAAACCTGGGTACGAAGTGTTCATGTACATGTAAACAAATATGGCGTCTCAATTGACTCGACACAGTAAGAAAACAATTTTATATATACTAATGATGATAATTGATGATCATCCTTCGATTACAGTTGAAAGGATAACTTGGGCTCGAAACTGCCTTTTAAGACGGACTGAACGAGGTGCAATGGATTTTCTTTATAATGATCGATTAACATTCTCGTTGTGTTTGCACTCCATGATGATATGGTATCCGCCATATTGAAATTGAGTGTGCAAGTAGTCATGGGAATGATATTTTGTGATTGGTCAGACTAATCATTTCCCCGCTACTTGTGAACAGACTAGCTCACACGATGCAACAAGTCGCGGCAACGGTTTTTTCCCCGCGACACGTCGTATGAAATCAAATCAATCACCCGCGACATGCCCTGCGACTTGTCGCTCCGTGTGACCGAATCTTTAGGTATTGACGGTGCAGGAAAAGCGAGCTGTGAGAATATATAATTAGTTTGCTCACACGATAATCCTAGTCCTAGAAACCTTATGAAACATGTTGATCCAGTCCTAGGACAATATATAAAATAAATTAGTGCTTGGACTATAATTCACCTCACTCAGTACGTAGTGATTTATTCACATGAGATGTCAATATCAAATCCGACAATTTGGACTTTATCGGATAAACTAATTGCGCGGACGGTGTATTCCCGGTAAAATCCTCGTAATCGAATTCAATCGATAGCCAGGAATAGTTACGTTATAAGACTTTCACTTGCATACTACTGTATAGATGGTTGTGTTCGTCACCGCACATGAATTGCTAAGCTTGTAGATGTCTGGTTATTGATTCAGGGACTGTAAGTATTTTCTTATATTATTGTACAAGCTATTGACACTCGGGAAAATATCCATAGACATGCACCTTCAACTGGTAATTTCCCGATTGCTAATTTCACTCTCTGCCCAGTGAAAGTGCCACGAACGTCAAAAATCTTTATTTCATAATATGTGAAAGCCCGGATAATTCTCGGTATCTTGAAGCCGTCCCGTTATTTCAGCTGCTGACGCTATCAGCGTGGAAAAATACATTTTTTGAACCAGAGTACGGTCCAAAAAAATTATTGGTGCACGCTGTGATTAAACAAAATGGCTTCGCAGCGTTAAATGATCAAGAAATTCCAAGTTATACTGACCAAAATAGACCTCGAAAATGCAAAGACACTTGTTGAGGAATATCTTTAAAAATACCAAGAAATTATTTTCAAGACGCCATTGAATTGTCAGGAATTTTGAAGCTTTTCTACGCCGAAGTTCTTCTTTTTTCTAGCTTTTAAAAGTAGTAATGTTGGGGCCGATCGGGCCGGATTTTTGAGGGTGAGTGAGGGTGAGTGAGGGTGAGGTAATTAATATTTATACAAATGAGGGTGAGTGAGGGTGAGGTAATTAATATTCATACAAATGAGGGTGAGTGAGGAGGAGTGAAGCGGAGTAATGACGTCACGCGGGCAAGTTTAGGCAAATAATGACGTCACGCGGGCCTGTTCGGACAAAACTTACTGAGTAGGCATTTTTTAGCGTCCCCACACGTGTGTGATACAATAGAGGGATTAATCTTGGCTTACTAATTGGTTGTTTGATTTAACGAGCGTCTGTATAAAATCGACAAGCGTCTTGTAATAAGCATAGTTCTGCATTTGACAACGCTTAGTTGAAGTTCTTTTGGTGAAATTAATTTATCTTCGGAGAGAAGTACTTGGAAGAAAATGGCACAGTAACATCGGGAGAGTATTTGATAAGTTTAATTTAAACTGAAAATTAATATAATATCCAGAGTTTTGTGCATGTAATCGACTTCTATATTTTGTAGGAGAGATCAATTTATGGAAAATTTGGAAAATGATGAAGTCAATCGCCAGCTTTGTGCCGAGGGCATATTTTCTTGGTCACCCGAAACTCAAGAGCAGATTCTGGCGGAATTGGATGATTGGCAAGAGCTAACCGCGAAGAAACCAACATTTAGCTGTGATGAATGTGGCAAAACGTTTGCGCGGTCAGGCAACCTAAAGCGCCACGTTTAATCCTATCATTCTGGAGAAAAGTCTTTTCCTTGTGACCAATGTGACAAAACTTTTGCGACGAAAGATAAGCTGAACCGCCACAAGAAGGCACATGGCAAGGAAAAAATATACGAATGTTCGAAATGTCACAAGAAATTTGATCGAACGGTTTGTAGAGATTTGTATTAATATATAAACCGTAACAAGTATATGTATAGACATTGTGTAATATGTATAGATATACGCTGTTCTCTAATATTATACCGTTCATGTTCTTTAAAGGATAATTTGAACCGCCACATGAAAATGCACGAGAGACGTGGTGCCGAAGGGAATATACATGTAATGTATGTGGTGAGGTGTTTCGAAATATATTCCCATTCCAAGCCCATCAGCGTGATGTCCATCAAGTTGGCGGTGGTAAACGTACCAAGACGTCAACTCGGCGAGCAAAAAGGCAAAGAACTGTTGAATCGGGTATGTATAAATGAAAATATTTCGATTACTGACTTTGTATTTGAACAGACATTTTTTCTCTTTTAAGAACCTACAACATCTTCGACACCGGTGAACGAAGGTAAGCATTCATTCTGTGTGTTTCCGTTGCTATGTAACGTTGTCAAACACCACTAATACGTTTTCTCCTTTTCAAGAGATTCTACGTCTACTGTCGTCAACGAAGGTATGAAAATTCAATTTTTTATACCGTATATAGTATATTTAAATTTATTTGATTGTGGTGAACTTTGTCGATTTGTTGCGTCTTGACAATATTAATTACTCACAACCTTTTTTGCTTTATTCGGTTTTAAAATATTGCCCAGAGAAAGACTTTGAAATGGTTTTTACAACCACTCAAAAAATTACATTTGAAAAATATTTTCATGTTAAAAGGTTGTTACGTTAAGAGTAATTTGTATTTTCACTGATGTTTGTGTTTTGAAAACCATACTTTTACTGATAAAAATAATCGAGTAATTTTTATAGCGTGGGTTTATCGTGTTGCTATGTGACATTTGCATGTTCCTAATTATCCATGTTAGACTTATGTTCATTTGATTTAGAACTATATTTATTCGTTTTATGTCATTGTACGATTGTTACGAGCATTTATGCTACATCGTTTTCGTAACATTCGCAACGTTTTATAGCGATGTAAAAATAATCGAGTAATTTTCATTGCGTGGGTTTATCATGTTGCTACGTGAAATTTGCATGTTCCAGATTTATTCATGTTAAACTTCTGTAGATTTTTTATGAATCGGGTGCTTGTATGAACAAAATTAGTGCGAAACTCTAGACAAAAATAAAGAATCGGGTGTATAGGACCCCAACCGTTCCCTCAAGATCCCCTATTACCACCATCCAACGTTCCTTCCCAACTACACCGAGACCATTGGCATGCTATCCGTACGCGGCAAAGCCGAGGAAACCGTGTTCAGGACTGGTATAACTATCGTTTGAGCTCGTTGAATATGGGTCATGCAACTTGTTGACGATATAGAGCGTATATTTGATGATCAATCGACCGTATTCAAACTCAATTTATCCTTTGGTTTCATTCTCTTCAATAATGACACCGAAGAGATGCAATACCACCACTCCTCAGCAAACAACAATCGAGTATTTGACACCCCCTTCCAGACCCGTAATCGTGAATATTTAGCCCAAGTTCGTGAAGCGATGCAAAACATCGACATTCATGAATGGGCTCGACAACAACGGCCTAATTCCAAATGGGTTAATGTCATGGATTTCACCACGTCACCAAACTTCTACGTCACGATCACCAAACTTAATAATAATAATAATAGCTTTATTCATCCATCTTAAGATAAAAAAGTACAATGGACTTACAATTACTTGTTTAAGAAAGTATATATGCTGTGGGTATGTCTTTATATTACAAATTGTTGTAAGATAATTTAGAAAACTAACTAAGAAGTTAAAACTAATAAGTTCTTTAAACTAATAAGTTCTTCCAATAAGTTAAAATTATTTATACATATTTACAAGCTCTTCCTGAAAAAGAATGTTTATGCCTTTCAGTTCCTGAGAAGAATGATATATTGCGATTCCGGTCAATGTTCCTTAAATTGTACCGATTGTTAATTAATTTTGGCAAAACACTGCGACAGGGATGGTTTGGATCGTTCATAAACCTATCAACTTCTGGACTAGTTGCCTCTTCCCTTCTTTCGTTCAGCGGTGGTAGGTAATCTTTTTCCAGGCCAAGGATTCTTAAGCTCCTGGATTGAACCCGCTCTATTTCATCTCGCAGGTAATTAGGCAGTCCCGCCCAGACAGGTGATGCATACTCGAGAATTGGTCTTATTTTGGATTGATAGGTAATAATACCGACTTCAGCTGGTAACTGCGATTTCCTGCATTTTCTAAGATGGTAAAGGCGTTTATTTGCTTTACGTGTAATCTCTTCAACATGTGCGTTCCATTTTAGATTATTTTGGAACGACACGCCAAGTAATTTAAAAGCGTTGACCCTTTCTATTAACTCATTTCCAATACGAAGACGTGGTGGTTCAGGTATAGCGTCCGTGAAAGAGATCCACATGTCCTTAGTTTTTTTAGCATTAATTGCCATTTTATTTAACACCGCCTAGTTATTTACTTCATTGATAGATTGTTGTAAATTACTATTAGAATCTACGCTCACTATTTGGTGTTGTGTGCAGTCATCTGTATACTTATTCGTACTGACTTTTAGTTGTTCTGGTAAGGCGTCCTCCAAATCATCAATGTAGGTATTAAAAAGAATGGGAGATATTACAGAGCCTTGCGGGACTCCGGCCGGGCATGTTGCAATGGATGATAAGGTACCATTGAGATTTACTTGTTGAACTCTTCCGGAAAGGAAACTTTTAATCCATAACCAGAAGGGTTTATTTATGTTCATAGCTGCTAATTTGTTCAAAAGAATATTGTGATCCACAAGGTCGAAGGCCTTACGAAAGTCAATGAAGGCCGCATGAACCCCCATTTTGCCTGTTTTTGAACAATCAGTGGCATTAAACCAGGTTTGGGTAGTTGATATTAACGCAGAGACTGTGCTTCGATGTTGAGTAAACGCGTGCTGGTTATTCTTAATTTTCAGATCTTCAATATTTAACTGGAGCTGGATCATGACGACCCGCACGTTTTGAAAAACAGCGGGATCTGCAAACTGAGTTTGCAACTTCAGGAAGCAAGCAACGCTAATCGCATTATTAATTACCGCTATAAGATGTCATCAATCCAGGTTCAGTTGCTTAGACGCAGTGTGAAACCAAGCAAGTAATAATTTAATTTTCTGTTATGCATTAAAATAAAAGTGTACAAATATGTCATAATGCTGACTGTTGACAAGTCACCTAGGGCTAGGCTATACTATATAGCGTACAATGTGTAGTAAGGCTGCGAATAATATGTAATATTAAGACTTGTGTGTTGTAAAACAAAACGTTCTTGGTATCTTAGAGAATAGCACGATAATTCCATGTCAAGACCGCGGAACATATTTGCCGTTTTAGATCTTGGCAGTATAAAAAGTCCGGCTTCTAAGGCGTAAGTTTTCTATGGCTAAATAATAAAGAAACTGACTTATAAAGTTATATAATTATACCGCCTTTCCCTACAGGCCCTAGTGCGCACATGAATCGGGTACAAACGTTTTCACTAACGTATATATCAAATGTATATATTATTCCAAAAACAATAGCTGCATTGACACCGCAATTGTCTTAGCTAATCTACGGAATCTACGCCCGCGCCTGCGTTGTGAGGTAAAGAATAATATAAGACTCCTTTTAAGCTTCCACTGGTTAAGAAAAGATGGGACATCTTCGTAACCTGTCAGCAAAAGATGGGTCATCTTTCTGACACAAGAGTTTTCACTAAAAGTATTCTAGATATTATTCCAAAACCTATAGCGCAAGCTGCATCGCCTTACTCTAACTTAGCCTGATGTAAAGAATAATACAAGACTCCTTTTAAGCTTCAACTGGTTAAGAAAAGATGGGACATCTTCATAACCTGTCAGCAAAAGATGGGACATCTTTCTGACACAAGAGTTTTCACTAAAAGTATTCTAGATATTCCAAAACCTATATAGTGCAAGCTGCATCGCCTTACTCTAACTTAGCCTGATGTAAAGAATAATATAAGACTCCTTTTAAGCTTCCACTGGTTAAGAAAAGATGGGACATCTTCATAACCTGTCAGCAAAAGATGGGACATCTTTCTGACACAAGAGTTTTCACTAAAAGTACTCTAGATATTATTCCAAAACCAATAGCGCAAGCTGCATCGCCTTACTCTAACTTAGCCTGATGTAAAGAATAATATAAGACTCCTTTTAAGCTTCAACTGGTTAAGAAAAGATGGGACATCTTCATAACCTGTCAGCAAAAGATGGGACATCTTTCTGACACAAGAGTTTTCACTAAAAGTATTCTAGATATTATTCCAAAACCTAGCTCTATCGCTGCATGCGCCGCCTTACTCTAACTTAGCCTGATGTAAAGAATAATATTATAGACTCCTTTTAAGCTTCCGCTGGTTAAGAAAAGATGGGACATCTTCATAACCTGTCAGCAAAAGATGGGACATCTTTCTGACACAAGAGTTATCACTAAAAGTATTCTAGATATTATTCCAAAACCTATAGCGCAAGCTGCATCGCCTTACTCTAACTTAGCCTGATGTAAAGAATAATATAAGACTCCTTTTAAGCTTCCACTGGTTAAGAAAAGATGGGACATCTTCATAACCTGTCAGCAAAAGATGCGACATCTTTCTGACACAAGCGTTTTCACTAAAAGTATTCTGGATATTATTCCAAAACCTAGCGCTATCGCTGCATGCGCCGCTTTACTCTAACTTAGCGTGGTGTAAAGAATAATATTTGAATATTATAGACTCCTTTTAAGCTTTCACTGGTTAAGAAAAGATGGGACATCTTCATAAGCTGTCAGCAAAAGATGGGACATCTTTCTGACACAAGAGTTTTCACTAAAAGTATTCTAGATATTATTCAAAAAACTATAGCACTAGCTGCACCGCTTATACCCTAACTTAGCGTGATGTAAAGAATAATATAAGACTCCTTTTAAGCTTCCACTGGTTAAGAAAAGATGGGACATCTTCATAACCTGTCAGCAAAAGATGCGACATCTTTCTGACACAAGAGTTTTCACTAAAAGTATTCTGGATATTATTCCAAAACCTAGCGCTATCGCTGCATGCGCCGCTTTACTCTAACTTAGCGTGGTGTAAAGAATAATATTATAGTCTCCTTTTAAGCTTCCACTTGTTAAGAAAAGATGGGACATCTTCATAACCTGTCAGCAAAAGATGGGACATCTTTCTGACACAAGAGTTTTCACTAAAAGTATTCTAGATATTATTCCAAAACCTAGCGCTGTCGATGTGGCATACTCCAAATTTGATATTTCAACTATACTCTTTAGGTATAGCCACAAAAAATTGGATATTGTCAAATCTGAAATCCAGGGGTACGGCTCATCTCCGCGTTTACTCATCACTAGCTCGCCCGGGAAATAATCTGGCGATGCCCAGCGTAATGTCTAATGAGAATGATATCAAATTTAGTTCAATGGGCCATTTTAGACTAATTTTCGATTCTTTTGAAAATGCTTACGCAAGTTTAATTTAAACGCTGATATATCAGTCAATATTTCGTGATATCTCATGTATAACCTATCAAAATTTAAGTTAGCCTTTTATGAATACAGCTACATTTATTTGAGCGATGTATAGCTCTTATAGTTTTTTCGCTATGGTAGATCAAACGCCTGAACTTTTTTTGCGCAACCCAGTATATATATGTAAATAAATATTATTTGTCTTGTGCTACCTTGTATCAAAATATAGAAATGAGGATAATTATTAAATAACGAATATAGTACAATCAACTCGCGGTTGTGATAGCCTGCTTGAAAGACGTGGTATCTAGCATTTACTGTATACTAAAGAAATAATAACTGATTGCGTGCTGCAATACCTATAGGCTATAGCCTTTTGACTATTACCTAACCTTACTGATTGAAAATACTTCGCATTAATCTTTAATCTTTATTCTTTAATAAGCAGCCATCAAAATATTGCCAGTTTGTTCAATCTTCATCTCCATTCTGAATCCATACTACGCACGATTGTCAAGCAGAATGCACTCTTCTTCAGACCAATTTTGGCGCAATTTGAACTTTGCGCGGCATTGTCTACTAACATTATTATGAGTTGGTGATGACAACCTGGTTTGTATGTTAGCTCAGTTAGTTATTTGCTACATCATATCTATGGTGTTAAATTTCATGCACGCATAAATTATTTCACTATAAATTCATTGTACATGTCACCACTCTTACCACCTCGGCTAATAATGCTGTGGTAACTAACACCTTCAAGATAATTCAATTTATAGGCGTGCGGGTCGTCATGCTTTGTATTGTAATACGATGCGAAACAATCCAATGTGTGTGGATCCCCCTCCAAAAAAAAAAAACCACAGGAAATTTGCCAATCGTCACAATCCTTAATTTTTCTTGGGAAATCAGCTTGTGTGTTCAATGCTCATGGAATCCATTGATTACTCAAATCAATGTTGTTTGCCAAACAGGATAAAAATAAATAAATAAAGAAATTTTTATGCAAGTGCATGTATATTATAAAGTCAACTTCATACTACGCACATCGACAATCTTCGTAGTAGATTGATTATCCGTGAACCATTTAATACGGAAATTAAACAATTTCCCCTCCAACGACTTCTAAACTGTACAGCATTGTACAGTATGGTAATCAGTTCACGATGTGTTGAATTACAGGATACCTCCTCGGGGTAAACATTTTTAACAAACCATTTGGTTCTCACCCTTTACTAAAATGCCCCATGCACAAGTATAATACGCGTTGGCGTCAGAA